AACTAAGAATATATCTAGATTTAAATCGTTACAATTAACCTTAACTTATATAGAGTTACAATGTATATAACCTATATTATATATAATCCCAAATGTAAATAATGAGGTTAACTTATACATAATGAGGTTAACTTATACATAATGAGGTTAACTTATACATAATGGTGAGTCAACTAAATAATATTTGTTAATTTATATGTTAGTAAGTAAGTACAACTACAATAAACTCTTATTGCAATATTATTTGTAGCGGTTATATTTAACAGTCTACGACTGAGAATAAGCTAAATTTATTAACACTATTAAAATAAACTAGATTTGTTTAGACTATTAATATAACTTGTTAAAACTAGCAAGATATTGGTAAAAAGTTAGTAAAATTAAACTTAAATTTAAGGTAATTTTCTAATATAATTAACATAATTTATATAAATAATTAAAGTGTTTAATACATTCCTCCCAAATTATTTTATGTACATATAACATTTAATAATCGGAGACAAACTATACAGTCTATTATAAATTAATCAAGAGTTTATTATAAATTTTACAGAATTATTTAGTTTGAATTTAATACCTCATATTACAAATTTATGTATAATTTTATATAAATCAACCATTAATTAATTATTTAAAATATAATAAAAGTTCTTTTCTCTATGAACATGTAATATTATTAATTATAAACATAATCTCATAACATACTTGATTTATTTTCTTTGATACATATAGTTTATTACTTTGTACATTATTATTTTATTTGCTTGTGCCTAAAATGTAGGTTTAAACCAACCTTTTACATTTATAACATGTTCTGTTAAATTATTTAATACATTTATGCATAAATATTAAGACAATTAAATACTTTATATTAATACAATTAAATACTTAAACATTAAACAAATTTATAATCTATTACTTAAGCTATTATACTATTTAAGTTATTATATTTATTTATGTATGTCACCATTAGAATTAACTTACATGTGTGCTCACTATCTATTTAGATTATGTTTCCATCAGAATTAACTTCATATTATATATTTTATTGGAGCTTATGCGACTGGGTAAAGTATACTAAGATAATAATTTTACTTTTAAATTAACCTATATTTTTACATAATATTAAATAACCAATATTTTTACATAATATTAAATAACCAATATATTTAACATTAAAATAACTCCATTTCTTACTTTATTCTATATTAATTTAAGCTATACATATTATTCTAAGCTAGATTAATAGTAATTTAAGCTACATATGTAATATATAATTAAATATGAATCACGTATATACTGTGCTAATTATACGATTAAGGTAAACAATACAAATAAGCTGATAACATGCTTAACTATATAAATGGTCTGTTTAAACTTTGACAATAATTATTTGCCCTAATAAGAGAATTAGTATTCTTAATAAAAGAATTAATTGACCTAATTAAATAATAAACAATATAATATAACTTAACTTCTTTTAAATTAATTTAATATAACTTCTTTAAATTAATATGATATAATTTAGAGTATGTCTTCTTTAATTTAAATAAATTAATATGGTACAGTCTACGACTGATGTATATTTATAAACTAACTATATATTTTATAAACTAACAATATTTAATAGTTGAGAATTTAATCAGCATATTAAATATAAACATTTAATAAATTAAATATAAATATTAATCTAATATATAAATAAACCATTGAAAGTCAAGGGTATAAATGACTAAGAAGAAACAAAAGTAATAGGATATTATTTACAACTAATTAATTATATAAGCGTAATTAATTCAGTCTACGACTGTCTCTAATTTTATAAGTGTATATTTCTAATGTTATAAGTGTATATTTCTAATTTTAATTAAGTGATTATTATTAAAATATCTATATTTATATATTTAATATGTTAGAACTTATATGTTATTATATTATCTTTGTAAATTAACCTAAGTTTTAATACACAATGTTGACCTAAGTATAATCATTATACTTTAATTGTTGACTTAAAAATATCTTAAGATATTTAGTTAACTGTATTATAGATTATATAGATTAATAATAAAAGCTTTATTATTGTTTATACTATAAACTTCTACAAATTAGTTATGTTATTTAATTATAATTCATTTATTAAATGTAGTGTTAATTATAATTACTTTAAAAACATTTACATTAAATTTTTTGCTCACACTATTTAATTCCAAGTGTTGGTTATGTTAATATAATTCCAAGTGTTGGTTATGTTAATATAATTAATAGTTTTAGACCAATGTTAATATAGTTATTTCAAATTATAGTTAAATTTAATAATTATCGTATTATTTGTTTATGGTAATTTAATTTATTTGTCTATAGTATAATTACTTTATATATAATTATACGCTGTAGTAGTTAATTTAAACTTTTACTGTTATCTAATTAGTCGTATTTTATAAATTATTTGCATATTTAACCATTCAGAAGTAACCTATTTTGTATTACAATTGCTTTAACCTTAATACTTATTATATTTATGCATTTACAACAATACTTATTATATTTATGCATTTACAACAATACTTATTATATTTATGCATTTACAACAATATACGCTTATTATATTTATACATTTACAATAATACGCTTAATTCACTTAGCTTGTGTAATATATTTAAATTTGCTAATGTGTATTAAGAATAGGGTTATAATACACCTGTGACATTATACAATGTGTCTTAAGTTTTTACAAATTTGCTGGCAATATGATTTGACAAAATTAATCATAAACCTTTTTAATAAACTATTTCAAAGCTTAATAAATTAAACAATATTTTAATTACCTTATTTATGTTAATTGTAACATGTTAATGTAACTATGTAAATTATTTAACGTACATAGCGTTTATTAAGCATATATTGAAGTTTAAATAACTTTTGTAAACAATAACTTATATTGTAAACAAGATTTTATTAGAAATTTTAGTTAATTATATTAGAAAATTTAGTTATTAATTTAAAGAGTTATATAAAATTTATTAGATTTAAAATAAATTTAAATTTAATTTAGTTAATTATATTAGAAAATAAGGGTGGGAGGAATCGAACCCACATTAACGGTTTTGGAGACCGTTGTTCTACCATTGAACTACACCCCTGTTAGTAAACAGTCTTACGACTGAAAGACATAAGACTTAATCGTAATAATTGAAGTTTAAATAACTCTATAATATTTGGTAGTTGATATAGTATATTCTTAATAATTAGTAATTTATATGATAATAATTAGTAATTTATATGATAATAATTAGTAATTGATATTGCATGTATTTATAAACAAATTATCATACTTATTTATAAACAAATTATCATACTTATTTATAAAGGCAAAATTTAACATCATACATATGAATAATTAAACTTTAAATATTGCAAAAGATATAAAATTTATCAACAAGTTAAGCTAATTCGACTAGTATTGCCAGTCTACGACTGATAAATAATACATACAATATTTATGTTTATAAAATAACATTGAAATTTAACTGCATGTAGCTTAAGTTTATCAAGTTTAAACTTTACAAATCTGCAATAAACCAAGAGTCTACAAGATTAGGGTAAGTCAAAATTAGGTAAGTCTACAAAGTTAGAATAAAACTTTAAAGTGCTAAATTTATGTAAATTAGCTGTAAACTAAATGCTTTTGACATAATCTACAATAAAATTAATAATGGTATTCATAAACATTATTTATCTTTTACTTTTATAAACTCTTTTGATTAACCCTTTTAGCACCTAAACTATATAATTATAACCATTTTAGCTTCTAATTTAATAATACCATTTTACTACAATTACCAAGTCACAAACTATTAATTTCTTAAATAATCTTAAATAATATCTTAATTGCTCATTTACAAATTAGTTCTCGGGCTATTTTATTAAGCTTAATTTATATTAGAGTCCCATTAAATATAAACCTTTAGGAATGAGTGGAATCGAACCACTATCGATAAGACCCAAACTTACCATTCTACCATTGAACTACATTCCTATTTTAACCTAACCCTAATCCTAACCCTAATCCTAATCCTAATCCTAATTTTAACTCTAAATATATATTATAGTCAAACAAATAATATATTATACTGTAAACAATGATATTGCAATTCATACTGAATTTTAAAACTTAGGTTAATTTACAAAGATAATATAATAACACAAAACATTGATTATATTATAAATTAATTAGTGAATACTTATATTATAAATTTTAGCTAATACTGTGAAATTAAGCATCAATAATATTAGTTGTTTAATAAAATTTGTAGTAAGACAGTAAATTTACTTCAAAATGAGTATATTCACGATTTGCTTACCTTAATTGCGTGTTACATAAATGTTAAACGCATAGGCTTAATTTTAATCCTAAACTTGTCAACCAGTATATTTATTAGCACATACAACAAATACTCTTTACTCTAAGATTTTGCCTAAGTTATGCATACTTTTTTAAGTGTAATATAAATTAATAAAAGATATAAATTATTTAGTTCATACAATACTTAATCGAAACCTTTAAATACTGTTGTTAATATTAAATTTGAATTTATAAGATTTAAACTAATAAGACCATATAATAAATACGTTTATTTAATATCTTGTTATGTTATATGTTATGCTATATTTAATATCTTGTTATGTTATATGTTATGCTATACTAATACTTATACTTATACTTACACTTACTAATACTTATACTTATACTTAAAGTGCAGTATAATTATAAAAGTAGTTAATTTTCATATTTGCATTTTACATAAATTTACCTTTAACTTATAAAATTTAACCAACGTAAAAGCTTATTAATCAATTGTAAGTTTAATGTAATTCTTGACCATATCACCGGAAGAGAATCGAACTCTTATTTAAAGGTTATGAGCCTTTCGTGTTAACCATTACACTACCGGTAATGATAAAATAATTAAGCTAAGTCGTTAGAATTACTCCATTAAAATTGGGGACGGTGAGAATCGAACTCACAGCTCTTACGACACGGATTTACAGTCCGCTGAACAACCACTGTTCATCATCCCGTAGTATAATACAGAATTACAATTTGTTACTATATAAGCGTAATCCTGACTTTATTTAAGATATAGTTTGGAAGGATGATGGGACTAAAACCTGGTTATATCTTGATTACATTGCATGCTAATGAGAATGATGGGAATCGAACCCACATCTACTTGCTCGACAAGCAAGAGCTTTACCATTAAGCTACATCCCTTTAAATTGACGTATAATCAATATATCAATATCTTAAGCTAAAGATTAAAGTATAATTTATAAATTTACAAAGTTTACAAGCTTAGGGATGGTGATACTCGGATACAATACAGGTTTAAAGCTTGTTGCTGTAAGTAATAAACCCTAATTGTATTTAAGAAACTAAGAGATTGAGACTCAAAACGAGAGGACAGTGAGACTCGAACTCACACATTACAGGTTCAAAGCCTGTTGCTCTTACCAATTTAGCTATGCCCTGTTGTTTTTAGTTAAACGCTGTATCAGGTCCTAAGTTAGGATATAGGGTCCAACGATTACTATACCAGGATTAACTTATTGCATTACAGTTAAAAGAGAAATTAAACGATTTAATAATTAAAGCTCCAAATTAATATCATAATAACTTCAGTGTATTTAATATTGTAATGTGAAAATTTATCATGAAAATGTTTTTTATAATGTAACAGATGCTACATAAAACTTAATATCATGACCAAACGACCATATACGTAAACATATACTGGTTAGCTTGATCAGAAACTAGTTAATAAAGTATGTTCAACAAAATAAGTTCAATAAAAATAGGTGGTGAATTAACATTGTCTAATTATCGGACAGCTTCAGCTACCCGAACTTTGTTACAACTTACGACCACTCATAAACAGCAAAATAGACTCTATATACAGTATAGGATTATAAATAACCCTTTTAATAGCTAAAGTCTATAGGCTCCTCATTAATAGTCGTTGATGGGCAATTTGTACAATTTCGAGATGACATTCACCGTGGTATGCTAACCCACGATTACTAACTACTCCAACTTCAAAAGAATGAGTTTCAATTCTTTATCCGAATTAAGACTGAATTTATTAAATACATTTGTTTCAGCCATTGTATTGTGAATATAGCCCTTATTACTGGACCATGCGTATCTGAGCTCAACTACGTAGGGGTAGCTTATGCTAGTTGAAAGGATTGCTCCACCAGCTTTGCTCGACCATGCAATACCAAAGAATAAGGTAAGATTTATGGGGCATTATCCAATTAAATTTCACAATCCGCAGTTTATGTCGAAACCCGCCAAATCAATTCCATTTCAAGGTTGCCCTATTATACTCTGGAGGCGCCATGAATGTTTCACATGGTGAATTTAGGGTGAGGACTACATGAGTATCTAATTCATTTCGCTAACCTCACTTTAGTAGTTCAATGTCAGTATTAATATAGAATGATGCTGTCGCACATAGATGTTCTAACTCATTTTTACAAATTTAATCTCTACACAAGTTATTCCTCATATTCTTTAAAAAATACTCTAGACAAATGTCCATCTTACTACACTTAATGCCTATTTAAGATTTATAATGCAATTCCACCTGTATTACCGCGGCTGCTGGCACAGGTTTGGCCGGAATTTAAAATAAGAATACTCATTCTGTTGTTCTTATTTTGGAAACACCCAGTGTCTCCTGATATTGACTGGGGCAACCTTTCGGTCCTTACCCAAGATTCCTCACTGCTGCCAAGGGGAATTTCTTCATTAAATAATTCTGTGGCTGTCGCTAAGCATCATCGGCAAGGGCTGCTATTACCAGACCCTTCTACCTAATACTCAGAATCTATCGTCCAGACTAAACTCATAAAGTTAATTTTCTGGGTAAATAGATCCATTACTCACCTTTATGCCAAAAAGTTCTTAGAACTTAATTCGACCAGCATGTGTAAAGTCAATATCTCGCATTTATAATGAACCATGATCATATACGTCAATTCCAACTTAAATAAGGCGATACACGCCCTAGAAATCTACTTAAAGGTATTTATCCTTCTAAAGCTATAGCTTAAATATTGTAAATTGTTATAATTAATCTCCGATTATTAAATGTTATATGTTGATAAATATAAAGTAATAGGGTATAATATGACAAATATAAAATAATAGGGTATAATATGATAAATATAAAGTAATAGGGTATAATATGTTAAATAAATTTTAATTATTAAATTGCTTACAGTATAGACTTAAATGGTTTAATGTTAAGTATAGCTGGATAAGTGTTATATACATATTGTCAATGTTAAGTATAGTTGGGTTACCAATAATATAGACTTTATTTGTATAGAATAATCAATCAACCTAATAGAGTAATGTTACGCGTATATCTCATAATATGCCAAGATAGTATAAGATTAAATGTATCGTGATAGTATAAAATTATCTAATTTATTAGACTAATATTATAATATTTAATGTATGGAGATATAAGAATATATAATAATTTTATATAAAAGTATATAAATTTTATTTAAAGTGTATAATAGCTTAAATTTAGTATAAATTGTAGAGTTAATATTAGCTTAAATACCTACATTTATATTCGTGTTATTAAACAGTCGTAGACTGACCGAGATGTCTAATGATAATATGTATAAATAATAGGATATACGGTTAAAGTAATTAATGCGGTTTAAATTATACAATGAATAATACGGTTATAGTAAATAATGTGCGATAAATATAATCAACAGTATACAATTAAGCTTAATACTGTAATAAATTATAAGTAAATCATACAAATAGTATTTAGTTGTACCGTACTTAATAAAAGAGGGCCTGATATTATTAAGAATAACAAATGACAAGCAACTAAATTATTCCTACCTGTATTAAAAGATTTAAATATATAAACATATATTGATAAAATTTAAATATAATAATTTACCATTTAATTTCCTTTGTATATAAATTGATTTACCTAAAAATATCTTAAGATATTTGTTTTAATTTACTATAATATATATAGTCTTTAACCTATATAAAATAGTCTTGAACCTACTACATAAAATAAATATAGTTTTAAATTTACTGTGAGAATTTACCTTAAGTTTATTAAATTATGCAAAAATTTTCATGAAAATGTTTTTTAAAGTATACCAAATGATTATTGTATTATTGGCACTTTCAACACACTAAGTAAATATACTATTATGTAGTGAGCCCAAGGTAAATACACTATTATGTAGTGAGCCCAAGGCTAATTAGCACAGGTTGTTTGTAACCTAATATATTTAATAACTTTAAATCTTTTACACGACTACGTAGTGAGCCTTATTTATATGAGCACACAATAGTTTAATAACCATAGTAAATATGACGCAAGGTTAATTTACAGTTGTATAGACTTTATTAAAGAGATTATGCCAAGTTGTATAGACTTTATTAAAGAGATTATGCTAAATAACAATAGACTTTATTAAAGAGATTATGCCAAATAACAATAGAATTGATTTATTTTAACTGATTTATTTTTAACAAATGATTTACCTATAACTTAAATTAAGTAGAACTAATTGCTCGCAATTAAGTAATTTATGTGTAATATGTTATCAGATCCTATAAAACTTATACTATCTTATTTTATTTTATTATAAAAAATATCTTAAGATATTTTTAGTATAGCTTATATTTTATCAATTTGCAATTAAATAGTGTTAAACAATTATAATTTATAAATAATTTAAATAATTTAAATATAAGTTTAGTTTAATAACAATAGCTTAATCTATAAATAGTGAAATTACTAGCTGAACAGTCTAACGACTGATCTATAACCCCAATAAAGTTTAATAACTTACCAATTAAATTATACCCAATAAAGTTTAATAACTTACTAATTTAATTATACCTCAATTAAAATTTAATAACTTACTAATTAAATTATACCTCAATTAAAATTTAACTTAACTTAACTAATTTAACTTAATTAAAAATAAAATTATATAATATTGGATACTAAATATAAATAAAATATTAAATAAATCCATGCTAAATATGTTAATATAAGTAATTAGATTAAAAAACATGAAAATGTTTGAGTAACTAGATTAATATAGAAATTAAGCCTTTTTGTATTATTATTATTATTTAAGTAACATGATTTGTTTATTATTTGGCATAAAGTATTTAATTTACAAATAAGTGTATTTATATAAACGAGGGTATCTTAATATACTAAGGTATATATATAATATATAACAAGCTATTAATAATTAAAATATAATATATAACAAGCTATTAGTAATTAAAACATAATGTAATTATTACTAATTCTTTCTCAAACTAATTATTTAATTCATGGCATAACAAACTCATAAGATAATTTATGCTTAAAAGAATTAACAATTGCTATAGAATCTATACTTAATTAAAATATAACATTAGTCTAAATAAATTAATAAACTTTACTAATTTAATAATAGTAGTTGGAATTTGTATACAATTTATATTATATTCCTACCCTCATATTACTTCAGTCAGCTGTAAGCCTCCTTAATCAAATTAATATAATCTTGAATAAATGTAGTAGGTTAATATATTAACGTGACAGGTTATATTAAACTAAATGTAGGATGTAACAAGTTATATTAAACTAAATGTAGGATGTAACAGGTTATATTAAACATAATGTAAGATGTTACATTAATTAAGTTAGTTAAATTAAATTTATAATTGTAGAATAGGTTCAAAGCTCTAATTATAAATGTTGACTAAGCTAAAATAATACCTGCTTATTCTTGACTCTCCTTGTACGTGACATAATTTGAGTTATTTAAATTTATTAAATAAAGTTATTTAAGCTATCTAAATTAATCTATTTAAGCTATTTTGTAAGGCTTATTTAATTTTAGTAAAGTTAGATTAATTTTAAGTGTAGTAAAAATAAGTAATATACCTAGTCGTAGTTGGCCTCCAGTAAAACAGTCGTAGACTGATAAGAAACTAGTATAGGCCCAGTCGGTATAAGCC